TCTTAAACAAATTGAAGGTAGGAAACCCTGGATAACAAATAAGATTGTCGAATTAATAGAAGAAAGGCGGAAATACAAAAACAGGACAGTCAAAGAAGGACAAAAAGAGATAAGGCTATAAAGTGGGAAATGATTTGGAATTGTAGGGCAAATAAGAAACAGTGGATCAATATGAGGTGTAAAGACGTAGAAAGAAACACTGAAGTAGGTAAAACGCATGAGGCTTATAATATAATTAAAAGGAACTTAGGGTACAGTGGTAATAATATAAGAAACGAGGCAGGGGTCATTTTGATAGAAAATGAGGAAAAGGCAGATAGGTGAAAAGAATATTTAGAGAACCTATACGCAGGCCCTGAGTTAGGAGATATATTAGAGAAGGAACATAGTGTGGAGATAGAAGAGCTAGGTTATGCCATAATGAAGAGAAGAGTTTGATGTAGCATTAAGAAACTTAAAGAATAATAAGGCGCCAGATGTAGATGTGATACAGGGGGAAACTCTAAAACATGTAGGACAAAACGTTATAAATCATATGTTGAAACTAGTTAGTCACGTTTACGAGATGGGGAAAATTCCAGAGGATTACAAACGGAACGTGGTAACCTTACTTAATAATGGAGGCGCGGATAGGTGCGAGACATTTATAGCAATTGGTTTAACTTCCCATGCGTCAAAAATCTTAACTAGAATTGTACAGAGAAGGATGGAAAAAAAGGCGGAGGAACTATTAGGAGAAGATCAATTTGGGTTTAGAAGAAATAAAGGAACACGGTAGACCATTCTAGCTATAGAGAAAACGATATTTAGGCAAAACCAAAATTTTTCTAATCCAAATATTTTTAAATCCTCTGCTAACACCCAGCAATCCCAAAATGTATTTCGACCTAACCAAAATAAACCCCTACCAGCGCCTACTCCAATGAGCGGAATATCTGTAAACAAAACGAATCAATTTAGGCCATCTACTTTCCAACAAAACCCTCAACAAAAGAATTTTGTCTTTGAAGAGCTTTTTAATACTGAAGTAGATAGTGGTATGAATAACGATGCAGAAATTGAATCGGAAAATCAAGAAAATGATAACAGCCAAGAATTTTCATATGATAGTAGTGAACAATATTACAAAGACGACTCAAATTTTCACACGGACCCCCTGTACAACGAACAGACGTAACACCTCATATTATATCTTTCAACAATACTAATTCTAGCGAATTACCGTACATAATATTTCCAGAAAATAATCTCAAATTTCTAATTGATTCAGGATCCACTAAATCGTTCATAGACCCAGACTTACCATACAAATTATATTCTAATTGTATACAGAATGACCCATTTATCGTTTCCACCGTTTTTCAAAAATCAGCGCATAAACACAGTGCAATGATACCTGTTTCGAAAATTTTCAATTTACCTAGAAATGCTAAATTAAAATTTTATTTGTTTAAATTTCATAACATTTTTAATGGACTAATAGGGTTAGATAATCTAAAATTATTACAGGCAAATTTAGATTTTAACAAAGGAATTTTGTTAACTCCTTATTCAGAAATTAAACTTCGCTATCATAATACAAGTAACAGTCTAAATTTAATTACAATAGCACCTCGCACTGAACAGGTAATTAAAATAAAAACTAATAAGTCAAAAAAGAGGATTAACCTCGAAATAAGAAAGATAAGAAAATAAGCTGTAAATTTGTATAAAACTTTATTTTGGCATTATAAATGTTGTGTCAAGAGTCACGTAACATCTCGTGTCCACTTCTTAAGATATTCAAGGTCAAAAGTCACTATTATCGATTTTTCGTAAATAGCTCGTTTCCTATGGTTTCAATGCTATTTGCATCTATTATGAAAATTGTAAAGCATAAAATTCCCCACAAATTTTGTTTAAGTTTAACAGTTTTTTTATACGTTTAACCGTTTTGAGGTAGAGGCGAGGAACGGGCAGCGCTTAGCACAAAGTCAACCGTAAGTCGCTGTAATCATCATATCGATCGTGAATACTATCAAATTGAAACTTGATTAGGGAATGCTTTAGAACTCCTGAAATTTTGGATACAGCAAAATGAATTCTTGGAACGGATAACTGAGTGAGGTTTATGTCCTAATTATTAAAGTTTGTGTAAATCCTCCTCACATTTCAACTTCAACTGTGGTTAGTGTATAATACGTAATTGCTAAACCATTCAAATTTATTTACTCTATTCCATTTCTACTTAAAATTTAATTTAAATATATTAGAATATAATTAGTATACTTAAAAGAAAAACGTTTTTAAAATTTCTTTTACAATAAGAGCTTCAGACAGGGCAACGTATTCAGCAGCTGCCGAAGATTTTGTAACACAATTTTGTTTCCGTGACTACCAATATATAGGATTTTCAAACAATCTAATTATATAACCGGTGGTAGACTTCCTATCATTAGTGTCGCCTGCACAGTCTGAATCTACGAAACAATCAATAAGCTTACAATTATTTTCCTTAGTATACATCAAATTTAAGTATCTTGTTTCGTACAAGTTAGTTTAAGTTCTCTTAAAGCGTATCTACAGTGGGTTTCTTCGTAACAATTCTGAAATCTGCTTAAATAATCTATAGGTACTAAAAGATACATCCGCTCTAGTAGCAGTACTAACATAGAGGAGAGCACCAATAATATTCCTGTATTTTAAACTATCATCCAAATTAGCACTCATTCGTAATTTTAAATTAACTTCTATTGCCTTAGAATTTTTTTTGTTTTTCTATTTATAATGTTATATTTTTCTGTTAGTTTCTATATATGACCTTTGATTTAACAACATATTTGATTTTCTATCATATTTAATACCAATATAATTGCTTATTTGTACCACATCATTCATATAAAAGCGCAGTGATAATTTTTGCTTTACTCTTGAAATATTAATTTTACAAAATTGCTACTAAGTAGGTCATTTTACGTCATTTCCAGCAAAAAAAAAGTCGCATTTTCGAAAAAGCCGCGATTCGGAAGTTTTACCACTAATACATATACATCTCCAAACCTATACATATATGATACCTGCACCTTCTACAAATTGGAGCAGTTTGTACCTATTTGTAAATTTATTTTAAAAACAACTGCTCAGTGGATATCACCTCTTAAGTGAACGAAACTTAAATTGTAGAAGCGAACTCACAAACGGCAGACTAGACGTGACTATGACGTATGATAAATGACTATGAAACTTTTAATGTTATATACCTATAAAACACTTAATTGCACCGAAAAAAGCATTAAAACACCTTTCCTTCGACGTTTTCTTGTGAGTTTCTTATAAATACACCTTCTTTAACTAAAACCCGTGCTACAGGAGTTGAATTATTAATGAAAATTGAGATGGCAACTATGAAAATGAAGTTTGAAGTTTGACGTGTGATCTACAAATATTAATTTGCAAAAAAAAGTGTTAAAAAGGTCCTCCCCCGGATTATTTCATGTAAGTTTTTCATAATTAGGCCATTTTACGTCATTTCCAGCAAAAAAAAGTTGCATTTTCGAAAAAGCCGCGATTCGGAAGTTTTACCACTAATACATATACATCTCCAAACCTATACATATATGATACCTGCACCTTCTACAAATTGGAGCAGTTTGTACCTATTTGTAAATTTATTTTAAAAACAACTGCTCAGGGGACATCACCTTTTAAGTGAACGAAACTTAAACTGTAGAGGCGAACTAAGAAACGGCAGACTAGTACGTGACTATGACGTATGATAAATGACTATGAATTTGTTGAGGTTATACACCTATAAAACACTTATTTGCACCGAAAAAAACATTAAAACACCTTTCCTTCGACGTTTTCTTATGAGTTTCTTGCAAATACACTTTCTTTAACTAAAACCCGTACTACAGGAGTTGAATTATTAATGAAAATTGAGGTGGCGACTATAAAAATTAGGTGTGAACTTTGACGTATGATCTACAAATATTAATTTGCAAAAAAAGCGTTAAAAAGTCCCTCCCCCGGATTATTTTGTGTAAATTTTTCATAATTAGGTCATATTACGTCATTTCCCGCAAAAAAGTTGCATTTTCGAAAAAGCCGCGATTCGGGAGTTTTACCCTAGTTTGGTGAGTCGTGTGAACAACTTCTTTTAAAACAATGCTCTTCTACGCTCTGACGTTAGAAGCGTTTCTAATTTTAGTAGTGCATTCGTAGCACAAGTAACGTTCGAAGCGCTGCCGCCCGTGTGAAAAGTAACATTAACAACAATGCTTTGCTACACGTTAGCGTCTGTAATCGCCACACGGCCCTTTCAGTGGTCCGTGTAAAAGGTTCTAATCGTAAGAACCTTTAATATATCGTTTTGTACAATCATACACATATAAGATTTAACAATTTCTTAATTATTATATTTTATAAGAAAAATAGTAATCACGTTTATTAAATTTCTTTATTAACACTGAAATGTCACTTAGCAACCTAAACACAACTACGACACTTCAATTATGACACTAAAATTGAGTGTTCCACGTAAACATGGGTTTCTGACATTATCGTATTGTTCTTTTTCTCCAAACGGTCTAATGTGTTGCCTACCCGTATTGATTTTAATCGGTTACGCTTAGAAACGGTCTAATTCACTCATGTACATGTTTCTGTTTAAGGTTGCTCCTCAAAGCAAGATTGTATTATGATTGTATTCGCATGTCTAATGCACGTCTGACTTCTGACTAAGGAAGCAGGATTTGATCGGTAAGTCGCGTTCATGTAAGGAATGTAAAATGCTGTTCGGAAACATCTTTTATAAATGACAATAAGTTGCAACTCTGATACTTAATCAAGATTGAACTACATATTTCCAATTTATTTATTAAATCCATTGCTTAAAATATAAGTCATGTTAGTTAAATGGCAAATATTGTTCATATTTCTCAGACAAATATTTCTGCTACGCCACTGTTGGATTAAATCGAAATACACCGACAGAGGACGCGATGATCGAGCCAATTAATCAGAATCAGTTCAATCATCCTACATAGTAGGGCGTGTGTCAAAGTTAAAATACTTTAATGAAGTTGATGTGATTGTTATAATTAAGGAAATCCCCATCGAAGGTAAGCATAACAATTTTATACTAATAAATAATAAATTTGATTTCTGTTTTCTTGTTACATTTATGAGTTGTAGATTTAAACATTGTAATAAACTGGTAAACGTAAACATTGTACACAGATTTATATTGGCATCATATTCAGTTTAAAAAAATACAATTTCAAACCTTAATATTTACATTATTCTAAAGGACTATTAGTGCATCTAAATATTTACAGGAAATGTTTTCTAATTGTGCATCTTTGTATTGAAATAGGAACTTGTCCATTATGTACCAATAGCTGTTTATATATAAATACTGATCCAGAATGAACTTCAAACATCCATAAAAGTGCGTGTGCTATAAATACATTCCTTAAATATTAGATACGAAGGCAAAATACCTACTTTTTAATGCCCAGAATATAGATATATAATAATTTAAAAGGTGAAATTTCTTGTAGTATTTACATAAACTATAAAAAAATTCCAGAAACGTGTAGGTGTACTGCATTTTAAATCAATTTATGATTAGTAGGTAAATACTACTTATTACAGCTGTATCTGTACAACTAAAAAACTCAATTAGCTTGGAATATAAATTAAATACTTAGAAGGTAGGTACTGATTCCACAGACGTTTTTAGTTGACATATTGATTATTATCCACACACTTTCATTTATGCAGGTGGGAAGAAAGTGATGAAAACTGTTAAAAAAAACTAGGTAAGAGCCTGTTTAGCTACATATACTGACAGTATATTATATATACAGGGTGAGTTTTAATTAGTATTTGGATATACAGTAAGTGCAAGTTATGCAGACTAATGTATGCTGTGGAAGAAGATACAGTCTCTTACAGGTGACATTATTTTCGTTTTTTTGGTAATATCACAAGATTTTCATAAATCATTTTAAAAAATTGACACAGAGGTATAATTTGAGGCAAAAAATATTACACTTATTGTTTTACATTTTGTTACAGGGGGCACCAGGTGAGCGATCCTTGAGAATGAAATTGGGTCATACTTTTTTTGATGAAACCTTGGTAATTTTGATTATAATACATAATATAAACATCATTCTTATACAAAATTGTTTTAACTTGATAATTTCAATCATTTTCTGAAAAACGCAGTTGAACATTACAGAACCTCCGAAAGGAATTTCAAATAATAAGTAGTAGAAAAACTTGTAATGTGGAATAATAAACAAATAGGTTAATAAAAATAACAAAATCATATTCATTGTTTTATCTGACTTCCCTCTACTTCTGTGCTTTTTCTAATTCTTTTAGTGAAGGACCGTTACATTGAAGAAAACATTGTATTCTCTAATAGAATTAGCCGAATTTGTATTTTTATCTAGAGTTCATTTTGTGAATGGATTTCATTGGTATTCACCAAGGATTTCATGTCCTCGAAAATAGAAATCCATTGGGTTGTAATCAGGACTTCTTGGGGTGGCCATGGAAAGTCTCTTGTGAATCCATCATTGAGGAAATGTCTGATTAAGATGCTTTCTAACCCCTATTGGCTAATGAGGTGGTGCTTCGTTTCACATAAATCACATTGTTCTCAGATCTGAGAGATTATCCAAAGTGTTATCAAAAGTATTTAGTATTAAATATCATTCTCCTTTCAAGTTTGAAAAAACATAATGGTCGGAGTAGACGGTCGTCAATAATGCTACACTGGAATGCTCTGAAATGTCGAAACAGTACCATAAGAATTATTTTTATATCATGTTTTATAATCAAAATTACCAAAGTTTCGTCAAAAAAAGTGTGACCCAACTTCACCCAAAAAGATTCATCTTGCGCCTTTGTAACAAAATATAAAATAAGTGAAATAATATTTTTTGGCTAAGGTTATACCTCTGTGTTAATTTTGAAAAGGATTTATAAAAACATTGGATCTATTACATGCAACAATCAAAGGGGAGCATCATTTTTCGAAAAATACCTTCAGTCATCTGAGATCAGTCATTTAAGAGTTCAACTAGTTTAGGACATTTTTCAGAAAAGCAAGTGATATTTTCAGGCAGACGTAGTTGAACAAATACAGGGTTTTTCGCGTAACCAGTTCAGTAAAAGTTTTTAAACTTGAAGTACCACTGGAACTACAAGCTGGCGCTCTTTCTAATTAAAATAATTGCCGTCTGTTGGTTTTATATGGAAATAACCCTGATTACAAGTGATTATTTTATAAATAAAAAGAACAAGACCATACAGAAACATAAGAAATCATAGAATCATTTTAATTGGCATCACTGCAACACCCTCATTTAAATTATTTTAACATTCTAAATTGTCCGTTAATCCTAAGTCATATCTATGCTTTACGAACAAATTATGTTTTAATTTTTTTATTAGTATGTCAGCCGTTTAATTTGTCGTGTGAACGTATTTTGTAAGGAATTTCTTATTTAATACCAATTCTGTGATAAAATTAAATTTCACGTCAGTGTGTTTTAATCGCTTTTGTTCTAATTTATGTGTTAAATTAATGTCTTGATTGTCTTCGTAAATCGTGAAATGTGTTATGGTCATTTACAAGACCTAGGATCCAGATTCCTTCCTAAGCTGATTCCGCTAAGGCAATGTATTCAGTCTCGGTCGAGGAAACAGATACTGAAGCCTGATTTTTAGTGTTCCAACAGACTGTTCCTCCAAAAACAATAAAGAGAAATTCTGTTGTGGATTTCCTATCAATTTTATATCCCGCCTAATCAGAATCTGCAAAGCATATTTTTTCGGATATTTTATTATTAAAAAGTAATTAATAAAGTTAATGGTTCCCTTTATATATCTTAGAATACCTTTAAGGGTATTCCAAAGTTTTTTAGTGGGTTGATTTTGATATCTGCTACAGTAATTTACTGAAGCACATAAATCAGGTCTAGTAATTAGTGTTGCATACATCAAACAGCCAATCAATTCACGAACTGGCTTAGTTTCACCACTTTACCTTTGAAAATGAGAACTCATTGAAATTTTATTTTCACTGCAGTCTTGCATTCTAAATTTGGTTGGTACATTATTCAAATACTCCTTTTGGCTTAAATAAATACCTTCAGAGGTAAATCTGAATTTTATACCTAGAAAGTTTCTTAATTCCCCCAAATCTTGCATTTCGAATTTTTTTATTAGTCTTCTTTAAATTATTTATTTTAACTCTATTATTGCTATTAATCAACGTATAATAATAAATAAATTTCAAAATTAATTTCACATTTAAAATATAAACAAGGATAATTTCTAGATCTAAAGTGACTGTTTTAGTTCGTATGAAGCCTTGTTTAACTTATACACACAAGATTTTCATCCAAGTTCAACCCTTGAAGTTACTTCATATAAATATTTTCTAATAATTTTCCATGAAGAAACGCTAATTTCTCATCCATTTGCTGTACCTTTCATTTCTTGTACCTAATAACTGAAATCAGTAGTCCTAAAATGGTCATCCTTTAACCTTTTTTATTTTAAAAACGCACTTGTTGCCTAACGGAACTGAACCCTTTGAACAGCCCATAGAGAAACAAGAAATCTTAGGATCCATTTTAATTGACATCACTTCAACATAATCGTCGGTTACTTCCGATTATACCGGAGGTCGACATCAACTAGCTTATTTTAAATGGAATGCTATATTTTTATGACATTTTTAGATTCAGAGAACCTTTTTAGGTTGATTTTGATTCTACAACTTTCTATGAATAATTAGTAGTTTTCGAGATATTTCTATTTTTCTGAAATTTTTGAAAATTGCATGCCTATGCTAAAGAGCGGATTATTCAACTAATTTTGAAACTGCCGTGGTCATATTGGGTGATGATCTATCTCGTACCCATCTCTATCTGGAATTGTACCGTTTTAAATGTGTCAGGGTATTATTTCATTAGTGAACGTAGAATTCAATTCTGTGTCGATTGATATACCATCTTATACCATCCCCCCCTTTAAATGTCTGTAAAGTAATACAGGAATATGGATGGAATTTACATAATACAATAACTTTGTTATACTCGTCTTCAATGACGGGCTTTTCGTAAAATTTATTTGCTCCAATTCCGAAATGTACAAACTGAGATTCTATTCGCTTGAATTCTGTTTTTTGTTCATCGGAGGCAGATTGGGATACTCTTGGTTGAAAAGACGATAAGCTCTCTCTACAACTTGCTGACATTCTCCATGAATGTAAAATAAATGTAGAATATCGTTATTGTTTTGTGCGTTTTCCATTTTGAAACCTCAACTCTGTTGGAACTAATATAAAAAATCTTACAGGTTTGCTTACTATGATGAAGCATTTAAAAACGTAATAATGTAGGCTTTTTTCAAAAATTTCTTATAACTGAAAAACTATTACAGATAGGTATAGGGAATTCTTATATCAACCGACGCAGAATTCAATTCTACGTTCATTATTGAGATAATATGCAGGGTATACCGTCAAAAAAAGCAACTTAAGTGTATTCGAAGTTTTATAAGTTTGACGCTATATTTTCAACACTCACTATATATTTACGATACTAAGTCCTTAACGCTAGATGGAGATAGGTACGAGATAACCAATCAGCGGTTACGGCAGTTTCCAAATTAGCGGAATAATCCTATATTTAGCATGCGATTGCAATTTTCAAAATTTTCAGAAACATCGAAATATCTCGAAAACTACCAATTCTTCAGATACAATCAAAATCGACCAAAAAGGATCACTCATAAGCTAGTTGATGTCAACTTCCGATAAAACCGGAAGTGACCGACGATTGCAAATATTTTAATTAGAAGGAGCGTTACCTTTTCGTATATTTGCCGCATTTGAAAATCTCTGGTGGTACTTTAAGTTCAAAAATTTTAATGAACGTTTTACGTGAAAACCCTAGTATATTCCATATGCTCACCAAATTATTCATTTTCGCTCGTGTGACAAAAAGAAAAAATGCCTACAATAAAATGTGTGAACGTGTTATAAATTTATGTGTATGTATAGATGTACATACATAGCTACCAAAGTAAAAAG